AATTAGAAACCAAATTTTCTCAATGTCGACTGCATCGTTCGTCGGTAAACCACAAGATGAGGAGACCAAAGAGTTGCAAAATGCAACAGTGTGAGGTATACCAGTTTAAATTTGCTCAACTTTATGAACCGTTTCGTATCATATAGTTGGATTGTTCATCATTGCATCGCAAAAATATGGTTGTTCTTTGGCTATCTATATGTTTGGACGTTGAAAGTGCTCAAAAATGAGGCATGTCTGTGTTTCGTGCTCACCTTCTACGTAAAATCTCCAGTTAGCGGAGAGGTTTCCCGGATGGCTTTGGTTATAAATAACAACTCCGCATATTGCAAAAGCTGTTTGTTACATGATGAGCACACCAGCAGATGATTCATCAGAAATATCTTAGGAACCGCTGCTGAAAGGCCACCGAAGGCAGCGGTGTTCTAAGAAAGAGCATGTCTCAAGAACAGACAGCCAACTATTAACTAAATTAACGAGAAAAAATTTTCACTTTTTCTTAAGCTTACAGACTGATCGTAATTCGCTATATTAATCTTTTTTCTTCCGGTTATTTCTCAACGGCGATCCTTGTTTCTTGAGGTAAACAAGTCTAAGTACCTGAAAATGTTTACGTTCTGTAGGACCTGAGCCGCATCAAGCGCGGCGAAACAGTGCCAGCTGTAACCTCTAGAGGTGCTAACGCGAAAGGAAATCTGTCTCAACAACGAAATCTCTTGATAATAGAATTTCCTCGTTGCTCCGAATCAATACCACTTACGCCAATTGCTTCACGACATCTAGCTTCGTACTCTTCCAATGAAAATGTGTTATCAATGTTGTCAGGAAAACTGGTGTTTCTGAATGTTTTAGAGGTCTAATTCCAGATTAACATTCAGACTACCTCTAAAGTGCTCTGCCATTCTTAGCTGATGGTCATGAAATGTTGTTAGCAGCAAATATGATTTGTTATACGCCAATATAACTTAGGCTTGCTCTCAAATTAACGTTGAGACAGAGAAAACTGGAATCAGAGCTTGCTGAGTTTCTTTTCTCACTCAGTTTTAAGTATTCGTCATACTAAAAAACTATATGTTTCATGCACTTCGTCGTATCACTTTGCCAAAAGCTTCAAGAACACTTTCCTTCAAGCTTATGCACGCCTCGCCAAGGATCTACAGTGAGCATACACAAAGTTTTCCAGTACCAATTAATTACATCAGCAAACCATTTCTTCTTGAAACTTCATTCATACTTCAGAATCCATATTTTAATTCTAACGTCAATACTAATATGAATGAACCTAGCAAATCTTCACATCTGCATACTTTTACTAATAATGATTCAGAGTTACTGAATACTACCGCTGAAGTAATGTATTCCCAATCAGGTGTTTTATATAAATATATGCAAAGTACTGGCAAAATATATGCTATAGATGGCTTTCGCCTTACTTTAAAGGGGATAACCTATTACTGCACACCATCAATGCATACCTGCATTATTTGTGGAGGCATACATCCGGCATCAGACACACAGTACTGCGGCCCTGAAGAGAACTGTGACTGTTGCTGTGACGGATCAGGAAAGTACTGCAGTTTTTGACTCGGCACCTTAGATTCGAGATTGGTAAGTGGTTCGGCGTACCCAGAGAGGAAGCCGCTGGACGTGGCGTTATTTGATCCGATGTCCATCGGAAACTGCGACGGAGCGTTCGAAAAGCTCTGAACGGTT